CATTGTGTTGTTATGAAGAATGTTGTGAAAAATGTTATAGAGGGGGGGGATCCCCTTGCAAGACACAACATCCAACATCCTACAACATCCTAGGTGTACAGCAGGTGTACAATAGGTTCGCATTTTCGTCGAAAATTTAAATATGTTTGCTCCTCGTTACAGCATACATGAGGGCCACACAAGATCATTTGTGTTGTTATGTTCATGTAAGTTTGAATTTCCTTATATTATTAAGGGTTACTGTTGAAATACATTACAGATTCATTTTTATTAATTCATTTCGTACACATATTTTGCAAGATGTGGGTATATTGAAATTTAAAATAATAGTTTACTTAGATGAACATGTCTATAAACGCTGCTCCATGGTTAATCTATTTCAGAGAGTTGACACAAAGGGGACAGCTATGAAAAAATCCAGTGCAAAACCTGGTGTCAGGAGATTTTAAGTTTTCAGTCAGTCTGGAGAGTCGGCATTAATTAGAATTTTTATGGCCACATTTAAAAACTTTGTTTTAACTAGGTTTATTATGATATTCTGTTATGAACGAGGGAGTGTTGTAATTACAGAAGTTTCTACCCTAGAGATTAGTTCGTTATCGGTTCGGACACGTGATCCTTCATAGCTCTATTTCGGCAAGAAATAACTAGTCCAAAAACCTCATCTTTTGATGTTGTAAGAGATAGATTCTCGGTCAAAATTTCTTTTATTGATCATATTATTCAATCGCATACTTTTTATTAAAAGGAGTTCCCTGATACAGATTTTTTCTTCTTCTTTCCTCACCTAGAAGATGGAGTTTTACTTTTTATACCTAGGTGAACAGCTTTAGGAGTGTTCTAAACATTATTGTAAGGATACTAAACACCTAAATGTGCTAAAAACCATTAGTGTTTTGCATATTTTAAATCTGACCTCGCCACTTAGCCATTAAAAAAGCCGCGTTAAGTTCATGTTACAAAACTACCTTCTACCAAATACCTTAGGTAGAAAATACATAAATTATACTTTGCATAAAAGTGTACATAAAATATGAGTCTTATAAATAATTATACTATTTCGAATTAAGATGTTCCAAAACAAAATATCTAGAATAATAATGTAATACCGACAATAGTAGTGGGAATATTTAGAGCAAGGCTTCAGGTTGCATAATCTCTTTGCTTTGAAGGTTTTTATGTTCGGAACGAAGCAAACACTTAGTGTTGAAACGCAGTTCTTTGTCACAATACACATTTTTATGCTTTTATCTTATGGTACTTAACATTTAGCCGTAAAATTTAGCTCACAAGAGTAGCCAATTGAAAATAATTGACTTCTTCAATTGTTTGTTAGCAGTAAAAAAATTCAGTGCTTCATTAATATTTTTTTAATAAATAATTGCAATGATAATGAAATTGTGGCATTCTTTAGGATTTTTTAGCATTTATAAGAAAAGTGATAAATTTATATAGCATTTTACAAGATTTATCTTCATATAATATAAGAGTAAAGAGTAAAGAGTAGTTTCATATAAGAGTAAAACCTATTTATTTGACAATGCTGATTGGATTTTGATCTTAAGGAATAATATTCATTAAATAGTTAGTTTGTGTTTTTTAACATTAAAAATCTAAAACATAACTTTAATTACATAATTAAGTACGAGATTATTCTCAACGATGGGAAAACTCAAGGACTTCTGATCATGATTTTGAGCAACTATCATAAAATCATAAAATGATACGTGAAGGTCATTTCTAAAAATAGATTAAACTAGATAAATTAAAAAAATATAAAAATAAAACTAGATTAAACAGTTATTTTTTCGTTGACATTGATATTCTCCTCTCATAATGTACCGTCATTTTAAACACTGTCGTTTACCAAAGGTGTTATGCAGTAAAGCACCCATTTTAAACCAAAAGATTATGCAAAGTTTACTTATTATTAGTTTTACTTATTTGAACCAATATAAATTTACATGTTTACTGCATAATGCTTTCATGGGTTTTATAATAATCAGCTGCTCCTTTAATTAACAGTGTAAATTTAAAAGTATCCATATGTTCAAATGTAAACACATCTTCTCTCCATAAGGCTGATATGGGAACATTAAAGGGCACTAGGGCAGGGCCCTGATGGAATTTCTTGAAAACGCCTCTTTTGCACATCTAGAGCTGTGCAAAAAGATGAAGACATAGCCAGCCTTAGCTTAGGTGGGACCTCCTTGTCAATTCCTGAGTTCTTACGGTTTGTAGCTTTTGATATATAGTATAATGAGCGAGTAAGTGATTGAATAAATTTGCAGTATAGATTATCGAAAAACCATTAAAAAACTTATTTGCATTTCTTAAAGTTTCTTAAACCAGACAATGCCTGAACAAAACTCTTCTTTCTCGCTACAATGTATTGTACTTTATCATTGTTTTGAATCCAATCAAAATAATTCGTACACAAGCCGCATGTTCTTAGTTGTTTTGTTGGGTTTTCCTTATCTTTGCATTAAATTGTATACAAAGGCCTCGTTTTAATGGCAAGGAATCATATTAATTAAATGTACTCAGTGAAAATTAAACCTGAGCATGGAAAAATAATAATATGGCTAAAATGTTTTTGCAAATAATAATCATTAAATTTTGTTAGAAATGTATCACGGCTTATACATAGCGTACCTATTAACCAATGTAAAATTGTACGCGTTTTATTCCTTACATTTAAGCCTTACATTGCCACTAGATTTATATATATTATCAAAATACGCTTAGTAACACAGCCCAATAAATACTCGTAAAAGATTGTGTAGTTAGGTAACAATGTGTTAAGCAACAATAGCTTTTTAACTTAACTTGTTCTTTCACTTATTCTCGTTACATTGATTTTACTCTAATTCTTAAACGTAGACTATTAATATGAATAAGTGTCTATTGATATACATTGGCCAGTATTATTGAGCTCCATTGACCAGTTTCACTTCGTTAAGATCAGAATTGTAATTCAACTCTGTGTACAAGAATGAATAAAATCACCTGTTAAACTATACATTGCACTTAGTACCATTAGCATTGTAATCCTGCAATAGATCGACAAAGCTAGTGATGTTAAATGGCTGTTGTTGCTAATAGTCCATTAACCTAAAAAGAAAAACTAGTCTCTAAATTTTTACCATTACTACGAAGCTTAATGCAAGTATTCTAGTTTTGTTGAGCAAAATGTGTTACGTCATTTTATATCCAGGTATTCCTGATAATTTGGTTTTTAATAAATGATCCTGACTAATGAAATAGCTTACCTAAGTCAGTAACAAAGCTACACAGATCATCACACCCAATTCTTCACTCATCCTTCGCTCATATTTGGGTGAAAATACGCACAGAGGCGGCGTCTCTATCTCAATGATTGATATTTAAAAAGTAAATTAATATACTTTCTGTTTGATTGAATGTTGTGAAACGTTCTATGTAATTTACTTGTACCGAATAATGTTCCGTGTGATAAAATTTTTATAAAACCATATATTCTATGAAGAATACACAACGTTCATTCTATTAGAATAACAGCTGGTCTCGTGGTTAGAGCGTGGGACATCGGTCGAAGAGGTTCCGGGTTCAAATCCCGCCAAATAACCAATGGATTGTATCTAAGTGATAATGCCGCAACCCCTAGTCCTAGCCCGAAGTAATGTGAACAAAATCCCAGGCTCGTGCCTAGCGTCCTAGGAAAAAAACTACACAGTATACAGCATTTACGTATTTTTTTTTAGTTTTGATTCGTAAAGTATATGGATGTTTCAGAATATCTTATGCATTCCGTCAAGCTTAAAATTAGAAGTGCTTTTATAAGACTTCGTTTCCTTTGATCTTTCTGAACGCTTTGTTTATGCTTCTTGTGATACCTTTACGTTTGTATGAGAACTTCTGATTCACGAGTCGGAATAACATGTTTCACCCACTGGAAACATTCAATAATAGACGACCTAAGGTAAAAATAGTAAAGAAAAACAATAAGTATCCTCTACTAACAAAAAATAAAAAAATAAAAGTAAAAAAATACAATTGGTATATTTTTTACATTGTACTGTAAACCCCGACGTTGTTTATAGTTATAATAGTTACAAAGCTTGTTACTTTTAAATCGATTTCAGCTGAAGATCGTGGTCGAAAAGTGAGGATATTTACATTAAAGTGGTGGTATTTATATTAATACGTACTTTACGCATCTCATATAAAGATAATACAGATAAACGGAAATATTTACAATAGCTGAGTTGAAAATTATTACATATACATATCCTGGCTCATATATATATATATATCTATATCTATATATATATATATATAGCTATATATATATATATATAGTGTATTAATCTAAAATCCATTTTGAGCGTACAGCGGAACTTTTACCTTCATTTATACTTTAAGTGCTCACTTAAACACTAAAAAATCCATAACATTTTAATCCTGTGTTAGAAATTTGTTACGGTGACAATAACTTAAGAAATAACAACCTCATGGTTTGTGAATGCAGAGTAACTCCTTGAAAAAGTACAAAAAAATACATCAAAATCAATAAAACCATATTTGAATTAATAAAAAAAATTATTGCTCTGAATTAATTTGAAAATTATACTATATTTTTTACGTGATAAAAATTTACTTATCACTGACTTGTAATTTTGCTAAGCACGCCCTGAATATGTTTTTGTAATTAGTTTTTCCAATACAATATGAAATCATTTGCTCAAAACACCTTTAGCTGTTTTTTTGACGTCTAAAATATAAAGCACCACATAAACTACATACTTCATTAGTCCAAATTCAACACATAGGGAATTTATTGAATTGTCCATGTTAACCATGCACTAAGCGTGCAAAATCCTATCAAAACGTACTCATTCCCTCGTGATGAAGGTTACCATTTCCCATATTTCACGTGTCTGACTGATGACTGAGGATGAGTTACTCAACATGGATTGGTATTTAAACACTCTCCCTGACAGACCATCAGTTCCATACAACAGTCGTAATGAAGACAGCTCTGGTCAGTGTATATATTTAGATGATTAGCTTTTTATTAGCTATATTTTTCGTGTTCTTTACTACTTGTTAAAACAACGTCATAAAGTAAAACATTTGAAAATATTACATAGCTTGAAGGGATAGATGCTGATAATTAATAACGCTTGCAATAATTAAAAAAGTCATACTTACATTTATATTCTTTCAGTAAACAGGTTACATAAAGTCTTGTCACTAATAATAGTAAATATAACAAGTATTATTATTATTGCAGAGTTTGGTACTTGTTGCTGCCTTGTACACCCGGAATGTGTACTGTAGCTACTACCACGGACCCACCGCCAAGCCTGTCGTCCTCCACAATGGCTACCTGGAAGACACCCAAGAGGTAGCAGCAGCCAAGAACGCTCATCTCGCCGCTCTAGCCAAGGAATCTCACTACGGAGGAGACTATGGATACGGTCACGGCGAGGAATACAGTGGACCTTATGACGGTCATCATGGAGACATCAGATACCACGGACCCACCGCCAAACCTGTCGTTCTCCACAACGGATACCTGGCAGACACCCATGAGGTAGCAGCAGCCAAGAACGCTCATTTCGCCGCTCTAACCAAGGAATCTCACTACGGAGGAGACTACGGATACGGTCATGGGCAGGAATACAGTGGCTCTTATGACGGCCATCATGGAGACATCAGATACCACGGACCCACCGCCAAGCCTGTCGTTCTCCACAACGGCTACCTGGCAGACACCCATGAGGTAGCAGCAGCCAAGAACGCTCATCTCGCCGCTCTAACCAAGGAATCTCACTACGGAGGAGACTACGGATACGGTCATGGGCAGGAATACAGTGGCTCTTATGACGGCCATGATGGAGACATCATATACCACGGACCCATCGCCAAGCCTGTCGTTCTCCACAACGGCTACCTGGCAGACACCCATGAGGTAGCAGCAGCCAAGAACGCTCATCTCGCCGCTCTATCCGAAGAATCTCACTACGGAGGAGACTATGGACACGGCCATGGCCAGGAATACAGTGGCTCTTATGACAGCCATCATGGAGACATCAGATACCACGGACCCATCGCCAAGCCTGTCGTTCTCCACAGGGAACATCATCTGCAAAATTTCAATGGAATTTTTGAACCATATCATTACAAAAACTACTGATTGCTTTTATGTTTCCTGGAAAAGTGTAATTTGACTAATGATAAATCATATTCTGTGTATTTGGCATTGCTCATTTTTATATAATTTAATATTTCCTTTGAACCTCATCAAATCCTGTTAACGTTCTGTTTACAACTTAATGTTTCAATTGTACTATTGACTATATATACCTACAGGTAGGTATATATAGTCAATGGTTGTATTGAGATTGATTGGTTTATTTTGTGACTTTAGAAATAAACTTAAATTATTAACACATTATGGGTAGTGACTTGAGTAGAGATTAATTTAAAAAATACAGTTTTTTTAGTTAACACTTCTTATCCAATCATATCTTGTTGTGGCCTTAGTTTTATCACTTGCACAGAACCAGTTAAGTTGTTGTATATATGTAGGCTGAAATTCCCAAACCAACTCTGAATTGTTTTCTACAATGTGCTTTATTCTCTATTTGATTTCTTGCACATAATCTCAGACCATCAATCAACACCAACATTTCTTGTACTTTTCAACTGTACAGCCAATCAATCAATCGATGGTTTCAATGATACAGTAAAGCTACAGATATCATCTCACACCATTCCACACTCATATTTCACTCTTATGTTTTGGTAAAATTTGCTCATAGGTGGCGTCCCTATCTCAATGATGGATAATTAATAAATGTGTAATTTAAAGTATAGTATAATTTCTGTTTGGTTGAATGTTGTGAAGATTTCTAGGTAATTTACTTGTACCGAATAATGTTTGGTTTGATAACTTTTATATAAAACCACACATTCAATAAAGAGTACTCAACGTTCATTATATATCCGAAGTCATTTCAATAATCACCATTAGACACTATACAGCATTTACGTTATATTTTTTTTACCAATTTGGTTCGTAAAAATATGGACGTTTCAGAATATCTTATACATTCCATCAAGTTTAAAAATAGAAGTGCTTTTATAAGACTCTGTTCCCTTTGATCTTTCTGTACGCTTTGTTTATGCTCCTCGTGATACCTTTACGTTTGAACAAGAACTTCTGCTTCGCGTGTTGGAATAACAGGTTTCACCTACTAGAAACATTCAATAATCAACAAACCAAAGAAAAAAAATTTCACCCTTTACTAATAATTAAAAATAAAGTTAAAACACAATTGGTATATTTTAAACTTGTTAAAAACCACAGCAGTTTATTAGTAATACTAGTTGCATTGTTGCTTCTATTTTATTCCTATTTACTTGAAGCTTGTTACTTTTTATGATATCACAGCTGAAAATCGTAGTCACAAAGCTAATGGTGGTATTTATATTAATACGTATTTCAGAAAACATGTAAGTAAACGCATCTAATATAAAAGATAAGCCAGACGGACACATACACACAATTTAGATGAGCTTATGTCAAATTAATCCTGTAAACTCTATCCTGAGAACAGAGTGAAACGCCTTCTTGCATTTATACTTAAATTATGTAGGTATTAAAACAATACATACCATTTTAATGCCGTATTAGAAGTTTGCTATGGCGACAATATATTTGGATAGAACATCGCTTTTCATAAAACAAGAGTTGTTCAACATGTTTTGTGAAGGTATAAGACTTTCTAAAAAAAATATTTTTGTAATGTTCAATGTGGTAATCAGTTCGTTATATATGACTCAACATGATGCTAAAGTCTCTAGGGGATTCAAAGTGTTGTATATATTCATACAGATTCTGATTTGCATGCAAATGCCACATCACCACCTCGTGTAAAATGGCGACGAGATAAAGGTGGAAATAGAATTCAAAACTAACTTACGAGTCAATGTTTAGTAGGGGATAATTTAACTAATATAAAATATGTAAGGTGGATAAGTAGCATATTAATAACCGTAATATGTTTTATTATTGATCAAAAGTTGACAAGCTAAGTGTGTTTCAGGTAAAATGATTGTCTGTGTTAAGTATAATTTATTAAATAAAACAATCAGCATAGGACAGTATATTTACTTATTGTAATAGATCCTGTATATTAATAGGCGAAAATGTTCCTTGAAAACCTTTCTCCACAGCTCGTGTGCATCGATGGGAAAATCTAGAAATACTGTTAGAAATATATTTTTCTATAGATGTGCAGAATCCCTTTATAAATTAAAATAGGATCAAAAATAAGTGCAAAAAATTCAATTAATTTAAACTTTAAAAAATTAACATGGGCCTTATAGGTTGCCATGCTAGTGACGAAATAACAACGAATTATACGTAAAGAGTAAATCAAAACAAATGGAAAGAATTCCAATCACACGTTTTATTTAAAGCGTGGGGTGAAAATGGAGAAGTCTGTACAAAATAGTGTACATTACATATTTTTGATCGAGTTTTTAACCACTGGACGACCTCTAGATTTAATAATTACTTAATAAATAGTTTGTTATAAAACTACACAAGGTTAAATAGGTTATTTTGAGTTAAACAACATGGTTTTCGATATATTTTATAAACCCAAACAAACAATAATTTGTTATACCCGCCCCCCTTACCACTTAAACCGATGCTCAAGACGTTGCAGCTTTTTACTACTGTATACAATACGTAGACTATATTGAACAGTTCGGAGTCAAAAGCTCTATTTCTATAAAACTTTAGCTGAATTAGGCCAGTGGCCCAGTAGTCATGTTTGTTACTATGTGAAATACATACTAAAATCCGAACTTTCCCATTCATAATATTACTAGGATAATATACGATTACAAAATGGTGTAACGATTACCAAATTCATTTTCTCGTAAACAGTTATTTTGCATACCTAATTTTCTAACGAATATCAATAGTCCTGGTCAAAGTTTTACTATACAAGAAAATATTTAATTGCTAAAACGCACAGGTGTTTAAAGCGTTGAAACATTAAGATAGTGACGTTTGCTCTAAAGGTATCTTACTATGTCGACTCAATTATATGAACGATACCATGGTATTTCATACACTCCATTTTGATTTAGGTTTATATATAAAAAGTAAGAATTAATGAAAGACAAAACTTTATAAGTATTGCAAACAAGAAGCGTGTTATAAATGTACTATAACTCCAAAGCAATAAACCTATGGCTTTTCTAAGACGTATTTATAATTTATTAAAGATAAGAGAGCAATGAGAATTCAATTACGTTTTCCGAAATCTTCAACTTAAACATCCCGTTTACTTAAGTTTAGTTGATAAAATAAGATAAAGCTGAACAGAGCAACTAATTATGGCCTAAGAGAAAAACAAGATTGCTTTTCTAAGATTGTTTTTAGTTTGTTGAACGCTTTTGATCTTGTTAAAATAAGAGAGACATTTAATTTAAAGTAAACATTTGAGTTGGTTTCTTTCGAGTTATTTATTATTATTTAGGAATTTCCGAAAACACGTTGTTTTATAATGGTAATTTTTGTAAAATTAAAATTAGATACACAGACCTGGATCTATTCAGAATTTGGTGAGAAAAAGTCAACATAAGTAAACTGCGTGCCTTTTTGATCAAACTACACTACTGGACATGGTATCGAACATGGATATCAAAATATATATTAAAACTAGCTGTTGTACCCGTGCTTTGCAACGGGAAGAGGACACAAAATAGAAATATTTTAATCTTTACATCTGTTGCATATAATAGTTATACATCCGCCAACACTTTTAGAAACAAAATTCAACTTTTATGGCCTTAATAGAAACGTTTAAGTCATGAATTTTAAATCTGGTAAGTAGTGGATACCACCATTTTGGTTTTGATTAATTTTAAATCTTGTGTAGGCTGATATGAGAAAAACTAACCAAATCTTTAAATAAAACTTTGACATACATGATTACGTATCTTTTAATTTATCATTGACATTTTAAATTTCAATTTTGAAGTTGCAAAAGTACCTCATAATTATTAAATTTAAATGAACATTTTTATAATTTCACTCTTCTTTATATTAAATCGCAAATCCTTCCATCTTCAGTTTCTTCACTCACAATAAATCATTAGCAAAACTAAGTCAGCTGTTATAAACTTTAGAAATATTGCTGTGCCTTATTAATACAGTATTTTGAAATATTAAAGAAACTATATCCATACGTACTATAGAAAATTTTAAACAAATCATTTAGTATAAAAATGGTTTATTTTACCTTTTTGCGTCGAACGATCCGTGTGTAGTTAGTACAACTACAGCTGTTTCATACCACTGGGTACATCATCAGGTTGTTGGCAGAACGTTAGATAAAACAGCATTCATTCATAGATGAACTTGTCTATGAATGCATAGTGAATGAATGCTGTTTTATCTAACGTTCTGCCAACAACCTGATGATGTACCCTAGTGGTATGAAACAGCTGTAGTTGTACTAACTACACACGGATCGTTCGACGCAAAAAGGTAAAATAAACCATTTTTATATTGCAATTTACGATCCAGAGGCTAACCCATCATGAAATAATTTAGCATTAAGGACAGCAGACAAAACTAATATGATTATCACAGCATCAAGGACTAAAAAATGTAATAGCAAATACAGTATATGTTTCATTGCATCTCTGATTCTACTCTACAAAAATATCAACAAACAACTTAATATACAAACCAGTTCTTTTAATCAGTTCCATCGTCCATTGGCTTTACATTTTCACACTTACCATAAAGTAAACATAGTATTTATCAGATATTTCATTGATGAACACTGTGTACTGCTTAGAATATTACAACAAATATCAACCGATATAGAACATTGCACTATTTTTGACAGTAGTTGCTGAACTGTATTCGATTTCGAAAATCTTTTCTTGTCTGGTTTGTGAAGGTAGGTTTTCGGTATATCTGAATCTTCGTTTGTTTTCATCAGAGCATTTTAAAATATTTAGGTCCAGAAAATTTAACGACTTGTTGTTTCCAAATTCAAGTGTGAGCTTAATATTCCGGTGTAAATTGTTTAGGTGCATAACATTCCCACTTGTATTTTTGTTCCATTAAAACGGACAATGGTGTCGTCCACATAACGATGATAAAATATTATCTTGTCTTTTAGACGGTTACTATCAGACCACAGATGTTTGTTCTCTAAGTTCTTCAAGTAGATTTTTGCTAAAGTACAATATAAGGGTGATCCCATAGCAAGTCCTTCTTTTTATAAAAATATTTTGTTTTCAAATTTGAAAGTATTTTTTAATTCCATTCCATAAATATAATATAATTTACAAATACATAATATTAATGCATTTTGTTTGTGGTTTTCAAATATTGTAATATATTCCTAAACTATAATATCTGAACAAAAACCTTTTTTCTAATTTTAATATTGTTTTATTAATGTAAGTTAAATGAGTGTATTATTATGGAAGTAGTCGTGGGTCGGTCTGGTAGCTCCGGGGTGAAACCAGGGGCCCTAAAAGCCACAGGCACACAGTTCCTACATTCCATATTAATGTCAGTTTGTTTGATAGCGATACTTTTCATACACAATAAATATATGTAGCGAGAATATACATGACATATAATAACGAGTTATACATATTTTTCTACACTACCAACAGCTAATACGAACTTTGTATACACAGATTAAAACTTAATACACTAAATAATGATACACTGAAGAGTGAAAGAACGAACTATTGATAAAGAATGATTTTTCTTAAGCCTTAAAAAGCCTTACTCGCCTTCATCAATATTATACATGCAAGTATATCCTTTGAGCACAAAAAATCATTCCTCCAAACCTGCCCTCCACATGGGTGAAAAAGACATACAAAGATGCAGGCAGATAGATAGGTAGACACTAGGCAGTGACAGTGAGGTTATGTTCTAACTCAAAGCTTCTCTCATGCTTATAACAATTATAATCAATAGACACAATCCTTATAAATTTCCTGTATATAACTTCCCAGTTTTTGTTGTGTGTTTCCTTATGTAATACAGGTAATACCATAGTTAAACGGAGTATATAAATGTCTACTTCTACTTCTTCTATGTCTACTTCTTTTAATCTATGGTAACTAGAGACCCGTGCGGCTCCATGAGCCGCATAGTCATAACGTTGAGGAAAACTTTATGCTTAAATTTGTGTGATTCTAGTTACATCTTAGAGTTGTTTCAAAACTTGTTATAAATCTATATATAAAGCCAAAAGTACCCATGAACTTTTGAGAAAACTACAAGTCACACCCCCATAAACCATATACTTAAAATGTTCGTCATGACGAGAACCCTTGCGCAAAACTATCCATTATTTCATAAATCGCCCTTTACCTTAACCTCAGCTGTCCTTATTTGTATGTTATTCTTACAATTTATTTCCTTATTAAAATCAGGTGTAATTATGTGTTTGTATTTCTGTATTCTGATTTATTTATTTCAGCTTTCAGCTTAACTTAACCAATCAATAATTTTATTAATACTTATGAATTAAAACGGGGTGAAGCCCGTGGGTAACAGCTAGTATAAACTAATTTTAAATATCTCTATTTGCGTCGTCAAGGTTCACCTACATTATTTCTGCTGTCAGTTGTAACTGATAACTTCTAATGAATGCTAAACGCTCTGCTCCAATTCTATTCAACTTGTTGCAACATAGTTTTTCCAGCATTGAGAATTGAAGAAAACTGTTGCCTTACTAATAACCCGTGTTAAGTAATTTACGTTGGGTCATTTTATTTCTTTGATTTGAGACATTCCCCTAAACCAACGAATTTTCCCCATAAAGAATCCTGAAAAGTGGGGTGATATCAAATATTTCATCATGTGCTCAATTTTTTACCCACAAACTCTGGGTTTCCGACTGGACAGCCATAATCTGCCTCGAATAGGCTAAAGCAGCAACACCATTAAATGTTGTCTGTCAGTCACAGTATATGCCCCGTATCAGAACATACTCGCGTTGTTCAGTGGAGTCTTTCTTAATACCTGTCCCAAAGTTTTTAAAGTGTGGATTCATTTGTCGAAATAGGATGGATAATACTTGTAGCTATAAGATTTGGATAGCAATTTTCATTTTCTCCTTTTGAACAGGGTATATTATTTGCCTCTTCTGAATCATAAAAATAAACTTGACCGTAACTACTCGATCGTTGAATACATAAACACTAATTTCTTCAATTATGTTTGGTCTAATATTGCTACTAAAACTTTCAACAGCAAATGAGTTTTTGAACTTCTTATTTTGACTTGAAATGTCTGGATTGTGTTGGTCAATTCAGTCAGAGAGATTTGTATAAGTTTGTCCAAGGAACTGGAAACATATCCTAGAAGTAAACAATTCATTTGCGTTTTTTTCTCAATTTAAGTAGAGCAAGTAATAGAAACGTTTACAATAAAAACATAAGGTCCGCCAAGATTTGGTATAATCTTACTACCGTACTTGAACTTATCATAGCCAAGGCATTATTATAGTTTCTACTAAATGTTTTGAAATATCTCGATCTGTCAGTGAAGAAGTAAACATTTCTTGCATGTATTCATTTGATATGACATTAGGCAAGTTTACTTTACCACCGTGACAACACTATGTGCTTTCATATATTTTTTCACTTCCAAAGTAAGATGCACAGCAGAACTGGCGAACAGTATTCATCTCATCAAGTGAATGTGTTCCTGTTAGACCAAGCCTCTCTTTTTCTACTCTCCTCATTCGCATAAGATATCTTAGTACTGTATTAATAATTGTTTCCTCCCGTTTTCAATATTTCTTCTTTGAACTCGAGGCATTTTCTGTTCTTCCTCAAAAAAAAAAAAAACTAACCTGGTCTTAACCTAATGACTGTTACAAACATAATATTTACTCCCAAAAAGCTAATGAATTTCTTTTTATAAACAGCTGATTTTTGTTTTTGAATTTGTTCTATGTATTTCTTACGGGGAAAACGTGACCTTTGAGAGTGTCTCACGCCTTTAAGGGTAGGAATTTTAAAATTCTACAACCTTATTGCAAAACTACATATTAAGACAAATCTTTTGACACCTTAAACGTTGAATTTGGTCCACAAATAAGGGAGGAGTTGCGTTAACGAATAACGGCTTCACGTATTATATATATAGATACTTACAAATTTGTGTACATTGTGACTTTTATTGATAGCTTTATTCGTGCATTGTGACTTTTGACTTTTATTGATAGCTTTATTCGTAGCTTCATTGGTTAAAAGTTCCACTACATCTATTGTTGAGGTTGCAGGCCTGAATCCTTATAATTTCATTTTTGTACAGATCATTTTGTAGCTTGGCACACATGTATAATGCTATAATATTTTTGTGATTGTTGACATTGACCTCCCTGGCCTGACAGTTGTTGTCTTTCTTTGTACCCTTTTTACTTATAGGTCTTAGATAGGTTACCTTCATCAGTCTAGGTATAATGCTTGTCTCTAATATATTTTCCAAAAGGTAAATTAATATAAGTTTTAAAATCTAACTTAATATAAGTTATAAATATAATTTCAATTAGTTTTTTAGTTTCCAATGCTACAAATAAACATAAAAAAATAACAGTTATTTTTGTAAATGTAAAAGAAGTTTGTCCAATTATTTTCTGTACTTTTATAGCAACATCAGGAGCAAAGCAAAGTATTTTTGATGCAAAGCCATCAAGCCAATCTAAGCCAATTAACAGGAAAACTTCTACAATTTAAAAAGGCAAGCGAGCAAGCTATTTTCGTTTCTAACTATAAACAACTCAAAAAGGTCAAGTTACTTACCTTAATGACAAACTGAGAATGAATTTATTTATGGATTGAAATTGAAAAGTAATATTTTTAGGAAGGGAATAAAACTACTTTCGTCAAAAGGTGAGAGACCCTAAGTGTGAAGCTCTTAAGTACACTCGGTAATTATACTTACCAAATTGTATCATCACAGTTAATCTTTCTACCACAAAAATAAAAAAATATGATAAATGCTTTTTATAAATAGAGTGGACTTAAAAATGCCCCCACTTCGGTAAACTTGCAGACAAGATGAATTTCATTTCGTATGATCTGATCTTTGACAGGTTGTTTTCATTAAACATTTACATTTATATTCCCTATTAGGTTTACCATTAATTAATTTTGCTGCCTAAGGGAATGTGGTACAGTGTTTTTAAGATGTATACGAAATAAATAATATGTCAATTTGGATAAAAATATTTTCATCAACAAGCACAATACAAGAAGTAATTTGGTCTAGGGGCTTACCATGGCACCCACGGTTACAGCTTGATCTCTATAAGGAAAAGTTTGCCAAAAAAGGTTTAGGCATTTAATTAGATCCATAATCATTAATTCAACAAAATTTTAATTAAAAAACTAAAATGAGAATTTGGGCTGGAACCTATTTTTTACCTTAAACATCAATTTAAAACTGATTAACTAGGGCAGAACAAAACTCCAGAAGTGTTTGAGGCACAGCAAATGCAGTGTGGGAAACATTACAACTGGGATTTCTTTTAGGGTCAAATTAAACATGTTCAACAAACAAAACTCTGTTAGGTAATTTTTTAGTGTTTACGTAAGCGTGCCACAACCATTAATTTCAGCAAGAGTTTAGAAAGGCTCTTACTCTCAATTCATTAACTGTTTAAGAAATGTGAGATTTAGTATACTGTTCATTAGATATGACGACAAGATTGAGTAATTATAAAACAAGAAATCCATAGTGTATAACTTTTTATAATGTTGGAAATAATTCAAATAGAAGTATTGCTAAGCTTATAACTGCTATTGAGTTCGGTATAAATTTAAATGGATTTTATTATTAGATGAATTAATTCGTAAAAATCATAAAACACTACCTCAGTTATTCTCAAGTTATGAAAATGCCACATATTTACCTCCTCTTTCATCCTCGATGAAGGTTGTCATTTCACATATTTCACGTGTCTGATTGAGAACTCAGGATGTGTTACACAACATTGGCTGGTATTTAAACACTCTCAGTTGCCTGACAAACCATCAGTTGCATACAACAGGTATACGATGAACACAGTTCTGGTCAGTGTATATTTTTAGCTCATTATTATAAGCTATATTTTAGTTTTCTTTACAGATAGTTAAAAATTTGTAAACATAAAGTATTTGAATATATTACATGATTTACATGTATCAATGCCACTGAATTTTCCGCATATCATGTACTAGCTTGCAATAAGTAACACAGTTATACTTTTGTTTATATTCTTTCTGTAAACAGGTCACACATAAATTTGTCACTAAAAGTAGTTAGATAAAAAACTGACATTATTATTTCAGAGTTTGGTTCTTGTTGCTGCCTTGTACACCCAAAGTGTATACTGCAGCTACTACCACGGTCCCACCGCCAAACCTGTCGTCCTCCACAACGGCTACCTGGCAGACACCCATGAGGTAGCAGCAGCCAAGAACGCTCATCTCGCCGCTATAGCCAAGGAATCTCACTACGGAGGAGACTACGGATACGGTAACAACCAGGAAAACAGTGGCTCTTATGACGGTCATCATGGAGACATCAGATACCACGGACCCATCGCCAAGCCTGTCGTCCTCCACAACGGATACCTGGCAGACACCTATGAGGTAGCAGCAGCCAAGAACGCTCATCTCGCCGCTCTAGCCAAGGAATCTCACTACGGAGGAGGCTACGGATACGGTAACAACCAGGAATACAGTGGCTCTTATGACGGCCATCATGGAGACATCAGGTACCATGGTCCCACCGCCATCCCACACGTCCTGCATGACGGACACATCGCAGACACTCACGAGGTCGCTGCCGCCAGGGAACATCATCTGCAGGCTATTAATGGAGTCGTTGAATCGAAGTCTTACAAAAACTACTGATTGCTTCAATGTTTCCTGGAATAGTGTAATGTGACTGTGATAAATAATATTCTGTAGAAATTGATTTTTCTTTTATTTGATATATTATTCCTTTTGAACCTCATCAAACACTGTTTACGACTTTTTTAAGTTTACTGAGATCGATTGGTTTATATTGTGACTTTAGAAATAAAAACATTACATTAAGGATATAGGTTTAAGAACTATAGTTTTTTATAGTTAACACTTTTTATACAATCATATCTTTTTGTGGCGTTAGCTTTATCTTTAACACAGAACCAGTTAGTGTTAAGTGGTTGTATAGATGTAGGATGAATGTTCCCAAGTAAAGTCTAAATTGTTTTTTACAATATTTTTTATCTACACTTTGATTGCCTGCACATACTCCCAGACTATCAATAAACACCAGTAACACTTCTTGTAATTTTAACCCTATAATTACTAATAGTTTCAACATAGTTCTCTGTTAAAAAGTTATCAAAAAATGAATGTTAGAGCTTGGTACTACTAATCAATTAAACCACTCGATTCGCCAAATAGCAGTGCAACTGGTGAGTTACTAAGCCTGTTTAAATGAATTAATGAAGTCGTAAACTACTTGGTTATCCTGCATCAAATAACTGTAAAACGAGAGAATAATACTGCTTTATACTGATTCTTGGTCACCTTGCTAAGACAAATAGTTAAGGTACTAAAAACAATTTCTACTTACTATTAGTTTCGATAAAGAAATATTTTGAAAGAAGCCTAGCAAACTAGTCTTTGTGGAAGTTTTGAAAATCTTTCTATTCTGATAGGAGTTTTAACAGCTTAAATTTTCCGACAAAACTATCTTTTCGCGGTCTTACAGCTTAACAACCTTTAAAAGACTGCTATTTTTTATAGCTCACGCATTACTATTTTTTTTAAGTAAAGAAAGAAAATTCAATTTTATAGAGTAACTTCATCTTATTGTACAAATTCTCTTTCCTTAATAACTGCATTTCGCCATTGTCTCTCGAAGACTTAAGTAATCCGCTAGGGTTAACGTTGTTAAGTCTCGCTAAGCTATGTCAGCCAGTGTGTAATATTTGTATTTGTTCAAGTTACTTTGGTGTTCGGTTTGCAAGCAATATGGTAAAATCTTTCATAAAATAACTTAGGAACCCTATGTAAAATATAAATTAAAATTGATCTGGATTACAAATAAAATGTCTCCTCTATACGTGAGAGGCAGTAAAGATGGACGTAATTTATTTGCATAAAACATTCCTTCAAATATGAGCGAATCAAAATTGGTGCACCATAAGAAATGTAATATGGTATACGATAAAAATGTATATACTAAAATAAAATTAGATTTTCTTAACAAAACTAAAACCATGACAACAAAACCTTTAGAAAATATTCTTACGTGATTCAACGCGTGTCTTACAGTGTAAATTAAGCTTTATCTTGGAATTAATTAAAAAAAGTCATTTAAATTGGTTTGTTAGAGAAATGCACACAACCATCCTTTCTTAGCTAGCCCTATGGCTAGCTTTGTAATTAATGAAGTACCATGAACAAAATACACAGTGTTAAAAAAGTGCTGTTGTGTAGGCTAAATAATAATAAATAAAAAGGACAAAATCAAGTTTAATTTAGGTGCAGCTCATTTTGGCATACATGCATGAACACAGACTCATTGGTAGTTATTTCTCTTTTCCTAGTTGGCAATCCTGACGGTGATGTAGCATTACCTACTCCTCTTTCCTCTTGTCTTTTCTTTCTTGTCGATGTCAACTTACATTCCCGCCCGCTACCGCTTATCACGCACCAGTTTGTGCCTTGAACTTTCTTTACACCGTGATCGGTTTTAAACTAAATAAATATCGTGTCTCACCTCCGGGATTATCTTTGTGTCCGTGAACGACGTTATCCACTACGGCAGGATGATCTTCGCTGGACCAAGGGGCCCCTGAGAATTCTACACTCCACACTTCAGGCCACCGACCACGCTTCGTACAGAGAAGAAAGGATCGGTCGTGAGTGATTTTACTATTAGATAAGACTTCATTAATTATTTTCTTTCAAGTTTCAGATGTGTAATTTTACTGCTCAATTTATTCCACCTTCATAATACAGTCCATTATTCAAATTACGTAACTAATTCAATTCTAAAACAATCCACAACAAGTGCATATATGTTAAAATGTTACATAGGTTGATTCGGGAGATAGAAAGTCACTAAAGGTATCTTGCTAAGTGGGTTCCTTAGTGCTAGCATTGACGTGTAACAAGACTTTTGCAGATGGAAATGATGTTTGCCAAGTAAACGACGTCCGGACAAACAATGGCCCAGACTTGAGCCGATATCTAGTATATAGTTGTTCATATTTAAAAGGAATTATTAAAGAATTTTGTCAGCTGTTTCAACTACACAAGTTGGTTCTATGATATTCAATAGCATAAAACGTCAAGTTTTACAACAAGGTGCAGCACTATTTTTCTGCAATTTTTTTTACAACAGCTAATTTGAACCAAGCAGCAACAAAAAGCTGTGAAAACTTTACCTTTTAGCGAATTTCCCTATAGGGAAGTAGCTATTACCGTAGGTGGCACGGTAAGACCTAGACCCGGGACCGATTTACTTTTTCATTTTGATGTCCCCAGAGGCCAAAAACACCATTCGTTCAAATGTTTATATATGTATATATATATATATATAGACTTATATATATATATATATATATATATATATATATATATATATATACGTCCGTGAACGCGATAACTTGAGTAATTTTTGTCCGATTTTGATGAAATTTGGTTTAAAGGTGTAAAGCGGGATAAACTTGAATGAGTTCGCAAACCAGCACGATCGGACCATGGGAACGGGGCTTTACGGGGGGTTTTATGGGGTAAAAATTGGTTTTTCTCACTTTTGACCCTCAAAACACAAAATTTCCCGATTTCTCTTTAGACCTTTTTAAAGAGCTTAAAAAAACAAATAATTTAGTATATAAAAGTATTTTTATTCGATTATTAGTAACGGATAAAATTAAAAAAATTTTAAATTTAAAATTCCCATGTTATTCTTATGGAGAATATTGTCAAATGTTGTAGTTTGCTTGTTTATGGATATATTTTGATCAAACTTGGCAAATTTATTTATTTTGTACTAAGCTATCAATATTTTACTCAAAAACACACTTTACTAGTTTCCTTGTAGCAGCAAACCTAGGTACTCGTTAAACCTAATGTTATTAAAATATATTTAACTGAAAATCAATTCAGACAAATGGAAATTCGCTTAGTCGGCAGGTTTGCTGCGGCGGGGGTATTTTTAAGGTGTGGTGGTAGACAAAAGACATGATGGCTATGGTAGATGTGCTTACTATAGTATACCATAAATTAAAAGAAGAAAATTTTCTGAAACCGTGCAACTAGAATAGCTTAGCTTAGCCTTATTATATAATAAGCAACGAGATATAGTTGTGTAATATACCATAATAAGACCCTTATTTGGCCTCATTTTACAACTAATACTCGTGTAAAATCATTTTAAAATTTGCAAAAGTCATTTTATAGAGTATTCATCGAGTTGTTAGTTAGATAGATTTGACCAATCATTACAGAAATATTTTACGATCCATATTACAGAGTTAAGATCACAATGTTTGTTGGGAAATAAGAGAAAGTTAAAAAAGTTATCAGATTGATGACTTGCATCAATCGTAAAGATTGATGAGTCTAAACCAAGATCCGATGCATCATTGGTTGTCATTTATTTTAAAATCAAACTTTATTTTTGGCTAAATGCAAACAAGGAAAGGTTTTTCCATTCTCCTAAATTAGGCTCATTTTGTATACCAACAAACTTTTAAAATAAATATTTAAAATTAAGATTGTTTGTATATCATACTTTTGACAGGAGTGATTAATAATTTACTTATTGTTCGAAACTTTAATTTCAGATACATTTGATATTAGGTACCATGTAACAGATTTTTTTTCACAAAGTGTGTGGATACAATATCTTAATTTCTGCAGTGCAGCCTAAAGAAAACAAAAAAGGGAAATGGCGCATTTTAGAGGGGTTCATAACATCTTCACATTCTCCAGTCTCTTAAGTAGAATTGAATAATAAAATACCCTTTCACCTTAAAATATTACTTTGTAGCTGATAAATTTTACATTAAAGAGAAACATCTTCACATTAAAATCAAAATAATATAAATGCTTGTTTAGGCAATTTGAATAATAAAACCTATTTTATATTTGTGTGTTTCTACGATATTAGCTTTGACTATTATCCAATAGTCAATGATATAAGAGTAACAAATGTTTACCTTTTTTTATAGGCTAGACAGTACCTTTTAAAAAAGGTAAAAAGTGTTAAGCCTATTATCGTAGGAACCCTGGTTGTGTTATTAACCTTTTTGTTTTTGATAGCAAAGTATATGAAACAACTGTCTAGTTTGTAATATAGGTATTTAAAACCCGTTGATTTACGCAATGAGGAGTGATTGTGCCACTACCTCAACCATGCTTCAGCTATAAATAAAAATAGCCTGCATTAAATTTTCAAAAATTGTTTCGTTTAGTACATTTTGACTAAGGTTAAAAATTCAACTGAGGGCAGGTAGTTAGCTCGTATATTGCAATTTAGATTAAAGATTAAGTAAGTTGGTCAGAAGCACTGAACCTTTGAAATGAATAAAGCAAAGGCTAAGGGGAAAATCTATAACGGAACTTAACTTTCTGAGTACCATTTTCCCCTCAGCTAGATTACAAGCTCGAAAATGCCACATCAATCGTAAAATCAGACAGTATATAAAAAAAAAACTGTGAAAGGGATAGCCTCAGAAACCAAGCAAACAAAGGCCACGGCCACTGAGATTATGTTTGTTCAGTAAATGGAGCACATACCTGAGTTTGTACTGAGGAGTACCAATATTTCAACATCAAAACACAAACTACTCCCATGTCTTAAGGCTTAACGAAATGTTTTATTCTTTTTTCGCAGTAAGATAAAATAACAAAATAAATTACGGGTTTTTAATCTCTTTATTTAATTTTCCGTGCTGGCTATCATTCTTAATTTTTGATTTCGGGTTAACTTAGTGTTGTGGTATAGTTTGCAAATATTTTAATGAGTTATTCATTTAAATATTATTTTAATCCATAATTTCAATATCATACAGTCAATGTCATACTAATACATTACTGAATATGAGAAAAACTTATTTTTGAAATGTATATATCCAAAGATACACAACGAATTAACGAGGTATCTAAGGACCCAATGAAGACTGATTGATTCATTTATTCATTAACATTTATACGTTTTATATATAAATAAGTTTATTAAATATTTTAAAATATATTAAAGATCCGGGTCTGATAAACTTTATACTCTGCTGTACTAAGCAATAACTTATAACTTAGAAATGGGTTACCCCATGTTCCTTTTTCTTAGTTTTTAAATCGCTTTAAGTTGTATGAACGTTTTGTCAATTATAAACAATTTCTGACAACTTAACCATTTTTTGCATTATAATTGAGTACAAAACGTCATAGAATATACATTAGTTGTTGTATTAGGGTGAAAGGTATTTTGCAACAACTAAAGACAATCATTACCTGTCGTGTTTAATTTATCTTCTCGAATCTTTTAAATAACATTCGTTATATAAATTCATTCACTAATTTTATTTTAATAAAATGTATAATTGAAATTCCATACTTATATAAAAATGTAATGCAATAAATAATAGACATTTGCAAATTGTGAAAACATATTTATTAGTAAAAAGCTAAATCATTCAGGGATTTTCGTTGCTCCCATGATAGACGGATCGAGTCATAGCCTGCAGATGATGTTCCCTGGCAGCAGCGACCTCGTGAGTGTCTGCCAGGTATCCGGACTTGAGCACCACGGGCTTGGCGAGGGGTCCGTGGTAAGGCACCACATGATGGGAGTGTCCATGGTCGGTGCCGTAGTCTGCTGAGGTGTATCTGCCACTGTAGTTGTCACCGTAGCCTCTGTGAGCCTTGGCCTTGGCTACGGTGGCGAAATGCTCAGCCTTAGCAGCGGCCACCTCGTGAGTGTCTGCAATGTGTCCGTCATGCAGGACGTGTGGGATGGCGATGGGTCTATGGTACCTGATGTCTCCATGATGGCCGTCATACCTATAAGAACCACTGTATTCCTGGCCGTGACTGTATCCTGATTCTCCTCCGTAGTGAGATTCCTTGGCTAGAGCGGCGAGATGAGCGTTCTTGGCTGCTGCTACCTCATGGGTGTCTGCCAGGTAGCCGTTGTGGAGGACGACAGGCTTGGCGGTGGGTCCGTTGTAGTAACCACAGTATACGCTCTGGGTGTACGCGGCAGCGACAAGAACTAAAATCTGTAATACCATACTAAATTAAGTTCGTTATTATAATAATTTATATGATTTATATAGGCTAGTGATATTCTTTAATAGTACAATATACACCTCCTTAAAGTTATCACTAAGTTAACTTTAAGCAAATTTCTCGAGTAATTTTTGTCTGATTTTTATGAAATTTGGTTTAGTTTTGTAAGGCGGGATAAACTTCAATGAGTTCACGAACCAGCATAATTGGACCACGGGAACGGTGTTTTATGGGGATAAATTAGGGTCTTCTCATTTTTTACACTTAAACATAACACAAAAACACAAAAATTCAGAATTTATCTCTAGACCTTTTTGAAGAATAAAAACAAAAAAATTAGTATATCAAAGTGTTTTGTACGGTTATTGGTAACGGATAAAATTCAAAAAATTGTAAATTTAAATTGCATATGTTATTCTTATAGAGAATATTGCAAAATTAATGTTGTAGTTTGCTTGTTTATGGATATATTTTGACCAAACTTGGCAAATGTATTTAGCTTATACTAAGCTATTAATATTTTACCAAAAACACACTTTATTAGTTTCCTTGTAGTAGCAAACCTAGGTACTCGTTAAACCTAATGTTATTTCAATTTAATTGAAAATCAATTCATACCAATTAAAATTCGCTTAGTTGGCAGGTTTGCTGCGATGGGGGTATTTTATATTAACTACTCACCCAAGACATGTCCATAGCTAGGATGCCGAACGAGACTGATACTTAGAATAAGAGAGTGTAGGCTTAAATACTCGATAGGTAGGAAATGTCTGGCATTGCAGCTGTGAATTCGGGTGTGCCTTTCTAGAAATATTATCACGCACTGAGGAAATCTGACACATGCAATAAATAAATCACAAACGCGATGGGTTGAATATTTGTTTCAGTAAAATACAAATTGAATATGAAATAACTATTTTTTCTTAGCCTGATAATTGATTACATAAATTTAAAAACACTATGTGGCCATAAAATGATTTTTTTTATTTATTATAAAATCATATATACACATATTTAGCTTGTATTAAGAATGTTTTATTGAATAGTTTAAACACACAGAAATAAATAATAAATATTAAAAATGTTAATGTGAATGGAGAAAATTGGAAAATATCATTATACAAATGTTGACTAAAACACATTTTAATGTTGTGTTTTAATGTAACAAAATTTATATTACTTACATCAAAGTTCATAAAAAAATACTGTATTCTTTAGCCAATTATTTACCTTGTTTTCTGCCAAACGTAAAAATTTACTTTAGTTTTGTCTCGTCATATTTTCCACGTAGCAGCAAAGCCACAGTTACATGCAAATCAGGCATGTGTGAATATACGTAACATGTTGAAAATCCAAAAGTCTTCAGTAATACCCTTGAGATGGATAGTGACTGAAGTACTAGACAAAAATATAATTACCTATCATAAACAAAATTCTTAACTGTATTAAATAGAAAACTATCAACTTGGTTTGTAATAGCTTATTAGGTATTGTACTGTATTAGTACCAAAAACATGATCTTTATAAAGTATAAAACGTTTAATCACTATGCACAAGCTATTCTATTTCTGTAAAGCACCTATAAGAGTGTTCAATGTAATTACTAGTAACAGTATTACATACCTGGCAAATATGTCTAGCCATTAATTAACAAAGCTCGTAAGTTTTTAAAATTAATAAGATAAAAATAACTTTAAAGTGTGGATGTGTTCAGTATTTACTTTACCTAATAAGGATAAAACGTTATAGAAACGAATGGTTAAATGAGTTCCTTCCCTTACACTTCATAAAGTTTTATCACCACAAAAGCTTTTACTTGAGAGGGATGCAATTTGGATTTGCTCTAGTTTTCTTCTTTAAGGAAACAGCATTGAATTGAATTCAAAGAATTACATCGAACAAAAGAAATTGTTTCCATTATTACTTTGGAATTCTATTGCATTTGATATGGTTTTATAATTTTTTATAGTTTCGAAAAATAATCAGAATATTCTCTTCAGTAATGCATTTGAATTGTTAATTTATTTTAAAGATTGCAAATTTGAGGTATATTAGATACTAAAAATAGGGTTATCTTCGTCTACAGCTCAATCCGTTGTACCTTGCATTATGATTATTTTGGATTTATAATGCCTTCACTGGACATAGAAGATTAACCTGAAAGTGTCGTCACAGTAGAAACGCATAATACGGACTACATTTTAAATTTAACTAAAATTCAAAAATAAAATTTATCACGCCTGTCTCACACACAGTACCAGTTGACATTATCTAAACTGGATGCAGACTGTTCGTTAAATGTAAAATGTAGTCCGTGCTATGTGAACGATGCTGTTAACTGTAGTTCTTGGTTGAGTTTGATTGTAACACAGAACAATAAAAATAAGCGTTATTAACAGTATCTTTCTTTAAACGTCATAAGGTAGTATTGGCACAAGTGCTTCTACTCAAGTCGATTGAAGCCTGAGATTTCCTATAGTTTCCCTTCAGGAAGGGATGTTGAACTTTTCAGTTAGATTTTAAAAGGTATTGTTTGATAAAAAAAAGTATGTAAATAAAATGTATTGATTTCGAATATTAACAAATATACTTGTAATTGAGGACAGTAAAATAACACTATTATGGGTGAATCTTAGGCAATATAAAATTATTAAATGTTTATAGCAGAGATTTACATTTTACACCACTTGAGAAACATTTAAATATAGTATCAAAACTAAAATATTTGTAGGCCTTCGTAAAAAATTTATATTGTTTATGCTTCTTCCACCATGAAACTCGTCATAACAATCAAAAGAATACGATACATACTTATGCTCTGTTAATTAATAAGTACAGAGAATGAAGGCGTAAAAGAACCCGTGCTCTAAATTATAATATATAGCAGACGATTAGTTCACTATTTCTTTTTATAAAAACTTATACTTTTACCTCATTTACTAAGTCTTAATCCATATTTTTCATGTAAAAATATACCATGTTCCGAGTAAAAAGTTTAATTTCACAGCGTGGAGTAGACAGCTCTGGAAACATTATGATGCCAACAGAAGTAAAAGTCAACAAAGAACAGACGCTTTGTGAAAACATTATTCCGATTGAATTTTACACAATGCTACAATACAATGTAGCAACTATGTTGTTTGAGCTTTTGTATTTTTTGTAAAACTGTATTTCAAGAGATTGCAATACATTTCAAAATAGTCCATTATCTATTTAGTCCAGTCAATAAAAGGTTTGTAGAGGACATGGAGAGGGGGAAATTTTTTTTCTGCGGGAATGTGTTCGGGGTAGTTAGAAGATAAAAATACCAAAAGTCCCCGCCCCTGACCCGGCTGCTTCAGCGGGGGGAGGGGGGGAAAGACCCCATTTTTTAGTTTTTTACTTCTACACTGAAAACCGTGCATCGTACGGAAAAAATGTAAATTATAAAAAGAAAGATGATGAAATTCTCTACAAGAATGGTCGTACTCATTTCTTCCGTATATGCATTGGTTTAAAAGATATTCTCAAAATAATATAAAAAATCTCAAATAAATTGATTTTTCACGCGTTTTTTGTCAAATAAGTTTGTATAATCCATTAGCCTGTTGTTGTTTCACATCAATCAGGATAGAAAACAGGTTTTTGAACACTAACCTATATAATATAATATATCAATCGTATACAGTATATTGTGTTGAAAGTAGTTTATATAAATTTAAATAAGTTATGTATATTTTGTCATGGAAACAAGTAATTTTGGCATAATTATTACACTAAATATTTTAAAGATTATGTTTGTAGCTATATTTGTCCAGGTTTATTTATAACAATTACCGAAACCAAGACTTAACACTATTGTTCATGGTCTCTCCATAATCCAATTCTTGTTCATTAGACTCAATATCTGCTATCGATGTGAGAGTGCAGTGTATATATTCTTTATCATCCTCATTTATCCGATTTGGCATTCTATTTAAACGGCCCCCTTACTGGCATAACAGCCAACGAGGAACATTTAATGGTCATTTCATTGCATGTACATCTTTCATTGCTACAATCTTTAGTATATTTGCAAAAAACAATCCCAACATTTCTCGTGGGTTAGGTGGTTCATTGGTTAAAACTGGGAATAGATTACATTTTTTGCGCTCCCAATCCCACATTTCTGAGGGTAGTTGGTTTTCCAAACAGAATTGTCCTAGATTAAATGATACAAATGATTAAATGTCATATATTTCTAAACTGACAGCAATGTTTGAAAATCGACCCACTCTTCCCTGAAAGCTCAAGACATCATGTCAATAGCATCTGCGGTTGTAGGAGATGTATCCGTTAACTGTTACGATTCTGTATTACGTAGTCTGCGAGTAATTAATAAAATTGTAATCATTTGCAGACAACAAGCTGTCACGGGAAAATATGGCTTTCCCTTTGTCCTCTGTGAGTTCAACCATCGATATCAATGATTAAAACGTTGCAGCAAAACCTTTAATTCTGTTTCAAAGGATTTGTATAAGTTAAAAAAGTTATCAAGATTTAAAGGATTGTTAACGATTTGAACTTGCTCCATTTCCCTTTATTTAATGAGAGTGGTATGAGTAAAGACCAAAAATGCCTGCACCGTTCAAGTTCTTTGGAACCAACCAACAACAGTTTTAACGACTTTTAATTTGGTTATCGATGGGGTATTTCTCACGCACAAGGTTATATGGCAAAGGGGATCTTCAGTGTCTGCGATATGTGATAGATACGTGAGGTACGTGGATACCTTTTACCTTGTAAGGTAATGCATTGTTGTTTTTGACAGATATAGCAATTCAGAAAACAGCACGAAGATGGCAGACCAAGAAAGACGCTACAGATTGAAAAAGTTTAATTTTTTTAAAAAGGATTTAATTTCCGGGGGGGGCCTCCGGTGGTTAACCCCCCCCCCCCCGCGCGGAAAAAATGTGGAATTTAAAGCACAATAACGTATTTTTATATGCATATGAGCTCTAAAATATCTTCAAGCTAATGGTATTTATGTTAGCTTATAAAATATTTCAGAGAGAATATATACCTCCCACCCCCCCCCCCCTCAAGGGACCGCCACTGGTCAGTAGATATTCATTTACTATATTATACTTATATTCATCACCGAAATTATAATAACCAGGAACAGTTAATCCCTTAACCAAGTTTTTTACAAATGTACCAAAGATTATAACAATGCCAGATGTATAATTTGTGCATGCAAGAAAATGTCCAATAATTGTTCTCCGTTATGCCAGAACTGCTAAGGGAACTTTTTACATGAAATGCCCTTTCTGATGAATGAGGGAGATGAAGAAAATACAGGCCTACACCGAATTCTCACTTCGATAGCCAATATTGAGTCTAATCAACAAGAATTGAATGATGGAGATGTCCTAGATGGTGGTTTTCAGTTCCAGATGGCACCAGTTTTTGGGACAGAAGTCGGACCCTCTCGTCCCAAGTGAGCCAGACCATGAACAATAATATTAAGTCTTGGTTATTGTTATAAATAAACCTGGACAAATATAGCTACAAACATAATATTTTAAATTTTTAGTGTAATAATTATTTGCCAAAATTACTTGTTTCCATGACAAAATATACATAACTTATTTAAATTTATATAAACTATTTTCAACACAATATATACGATTGATATATTATATTATATAGGTTAGTGTTCAAAAACCTGTTTTCTATCCTGATT